AGTTCGAGTTCATAATAAGAAGAACTCATCTGAAGAAGGAAGAAGAAGTTCATAATGAGAAGAATTTGTTCAACATTTTGCTCAAATCCATCACTTGATGGATCAGCTTTTCCAGTTCGAGTTCATAATAAGAAGAACTCATCTGAAGAAGGAAGAAGAAGTTCATAATGAGAAGAATTTGTTCAACATTTTTCTCAAATCCATCACTTGATGGATCAGCTTTTCCAATTCGAGTTCATAATGAGAAGAACTCATCTGAAGAAGGAAGAAGAAGTTCATAATGAGAAGAATTTGTTCAACCTTTTGCTCAAATCCATCACTTGATGGATCAGCTTTTCCAGTTCAAGTTCATAATGAGAAGAACTCATCTGAAGAAGGAAGAAGAAGTTCGTAATGAGAAGAACTTGTTTAACCTTTTGTTCAAATTCATCACTTAATGGATCAACCTTTACGGAGAAAGTTCATAATGAGAAGAACTCATCTGAAGAATAATAAGTTCATAATAAGAAGAGCTTATTCAACCTTTTGAATGACTCTATCACAGAAGGAAATAGGTCAACATCATCCCCAGCGGAAATTTCATAATGAAAAGAACTCATCTGAAAGAAAGAGAAGAATTTATTCAACATCTCTATACTAATCAAGTGAAGTCAAATGAAAAAAACTTATTATCTTTTCGTCTTTGCACTATTCTTATTAAGAATAAGCAAAGAGGGGAAGCTGAAGATATTCATTTTTTTTCATTTAAATGTTATTTATATTATTATTATTATTATTATTATTATTATTATTATTATTAATATTATAATTATAATTATTATTATTATTATTAATATATATTATTTATTAATATTACAAAACCCAAATGGTGGCCCAGATCAATGAGCCCATAATAAACCCTAACAGATTAGGGTTTTCCTATTCCCCCAGCCGTCATCTTCAATTTCAGCCGTTGGATCTGGTTTGATCCAACGGTCCACAGTTTGCCAGAGGAAACCCTAGGGTATCAATACCCTAGTGACACGTCCCAGCGCCGCCGTAGATTCCAGAAGACCACGCGGCGTTGCTTCAGCCTCGCCGCCACTCCATCCGCACGCATGTCGTCCCAACGGTGAGTCACCACTGGGAGTCCGGTGACTCACCAGACTCCATTCTTTTACCCGGTCCGATGGCCACACCGGTGATGGCTATAAAGCCATCACCCCATCTGCGAAGACAAGGAGAACAACAGAGCCAAAGAGACAAAACCCGAAAGCAAAGATACCAAAAAAGAGACCAACTCACAATAACCAGCAACTAAAAACAAAAAAAAAGGGATGAGAAAAGCTTACCGAGGAAGCTACGACCACCGGACCTCTTCAAATGTCACCAAAACCTTCGAAAACCGAAGGTATTTTTCTTAGATTTGCTCTGATCGGGAGCTGTTTAGAAGAAAAAACCATCGGAACCGTCATTAGGACGGTCTGATCTATATTTTAGTATAAAAAAAATTTTCCGGCCACCGGCGGACGGCTGCCGGCTGGCTAGCTTATCTCTGTTTTAGAGAGAAGCGAGAGAAAATTTTCTCTCTCAGAGAAGAGAGAGAGAGGAAAAAAACGAGAAATGAAGCTGGCCCTTCGGGCCAGCCGGGTTTGGCTTTAAATAGCCCTTCCCGAACGACGTCGTTTCGGAGAGGGCTAATTGTGTAATTTTTTAATTGTTAAATCCCGTCCGCCATCCCTCAAATTTGTAAACTTTACATTTTAGTCACTAAATCAATTTATAATCCTTTTAATTCGGTTCTTTAATTTTAATTTTATTTATTTTAGTCCTTTATATTAAAATAATATATTTAGGGTAAATAACAGATTTAATCCCTTAATTTTAATAATTAATATTTTAATCCCGAGTTTATATTTTTAATTTATTTTAATCTGATATTCGAATTTTAGATAAGTTTTATTTTAGTCACTAAATTAATAAATAAGAAAATAGCATGTTTAATCCCTATAATTTTGATTAATTATGAATTAGATATTTAATTTTAATTTTACTATAATTTAGTCACCAATTTTAAATATTTTCATATAGTTCTAATTATATTTTTATTGTTTTAATTTTATTTGTTTATATATTTAAATATTTTTATTATTATTATGTAGTCATAAATATATATATAATAAATAATAATTTATTTTTTCAATAAATTATTTTAATATTTATTTTTCAATATCGAAGAAAAGGGCAGTCTTAATACAACTGGATGTCCTATTCTGGTATTTTAAAATTAAATATTATAAAAAATATTATTTAATTTTATTCAAATTAATATTTATTAATATCAAAGAAAAGAGCTGTCTTAAGGCACCTAGAAGTCCTTTTTCGATATTTTTAAATAAATAAATATTTTTTTATATAATTTTGAAATAATAGGATTATAAATTAAATATATTTTGAATTTTTAAATTTTTAATAATAGAGACAATTTATAATTAAAAAATACCAATTTTGGGCGTTGTTGGGGTGCTAATCCTTCCCTAAACGTAACCGACCACGAATCCTTTTTTATTATTAAAAAGAACGAATTTTTGGCTATAAACGCAAATTAGTTCATTTTTTAATTGATGTTTTCTTAAAACTCTTTTAAAAAATAATTTTTAGGTATTCGACCTACCTGACCCAAAAGGCCGATGGCGACTCCCAAATTATTTTCAAAACCATTTATTCACATAAATTTTTCAGCCAAATAAATATTTCGTGCCCGGGCGAAAACCGGTTACGACAGTACGTTTTTATCTATCTTTATTTCACGATTTTTATGTCTTTGTTGCACATTTTTCGTTTTATTTCTTGGTCGTTTGGTCGTTCTTTTTAGTTTATATTTTCTCAATGTTGGATTTAACGATATCACGACTAATCAAGATGGCGCTTATTTGTAATCTTGTTGCTCTTCCTTACTATGAATCCTCATATTAAATTTGGATATGCGATTTTACGTTCGTGAATTGTTTCTCACGATGCTCGGCTCTGATTTACGGTTCTTGGTGATCTTTCGATAGCTTAATCCTCTTTTGTAGTTCGTTGCCGATGCAGTTAAATTTGTTTGTATCTATTTTTTGTTCGAGTCTTTTGCTTGGGTTTTTAATTATTTTCAAATTTGGTTCTTATATGATTTTAAGTGACTAGTTTCAATTATAGAAAAATGTCCAAATTATGTATTTCCTTTACAATGATAGTTATTTACCCTTATTATAATTTTAGATATTTTTTATTTTTTTAATAAAATTAGCGACTTCTATTCAAATAAAAAAAACAAAAACAAATTGTCAATATAAAATATAAAAAATATAAAAAAAAGTATATAAAAATTTGAAATATTCAAAGAAGCAGCCTTTCTCTCTTGATCTATCAGTACTATTAACTTTTCAGATTACATGATAAACTTTGCAGTCCGATCAAATGAAATTTAATTCATAACTTTTAACAATATAAAATACCATTACTTTATGAGCTTTAATGTTTTCTTTAGGATCTTATTAAGAGGAGCTTAGCATTAAATCTTTAACGCGTTGAAGTTTAAATAAGAGTGAGTTTTACCATCATGTACATAAACACAAACATTGAAATCTATCTTGTCGAATGGAGTAAATTGGGTTGGGAGGGTCGCCCTCACCTCTGTAATATCCGATTTGGATTAATCGGTTAATAGATCGGATATTAGTGATTAATTCAAAAAAAAAACTACCTTGTAACATATATACAATGCATGAATTAATTTAAATATATAGAGCTGCAGCGTCCCCTAACTCGATTTTTATTTTGTAAAATTAACTTTTTAGACTATAACTATCGGGAATAAATATGTATTTCGAAGATCTTTGAAGGATCGTATCTTTATATTCATCGGGAATAAATATTGAATATAAATAAAGATAAATGAGCCATTATAAACAATTTAGCTGTACACATAAAATTGATGAAGTTCATTGATCGTAGTGGTTGGTGGCAAAGAACTCTTCAGCAGAAGAACCTAGCATGTTAGTTGGATCGGTCGAAGTAGAATCAGCACAGATTCATAAAAACAAGAGAAATTAATCACTGCGACTCATAATTAATTCGTCACATGAAAGGGAAGGTGATGTTTTTTTATTGACACATGATTTGTTCCCAGTTCATTATCCAGCTTAATCTGCTCATATGAAAAATCAAAATGGCATGCTTCTTAAATTATTTATGTTGAATTAAACGAAACTCGAATCACGGACTTTAAAAATATATATATGTTACGATGATTTTAGACGATTCAATATTTTTTTTAATTTAGACGGAAAAGTATGACTAGTGATTAGATGGCAGTTGATCAATGTTTAAATCATCTTTTTTTATGAGGAGGGAGAAGAGAAGATATTCCTACCCATCTCTCTGTCTTGAGAAGTTTGTAGTGATATTTAGTGTTGGTATGAGGCGTAGAATCATGGTACCTACTTGTATATTGGCAGACTCAATAGATACTATTGAGTAATAATAAATTTAGTTCTAATAGATCATGTGAGTTTATCAAAGATTATATCAAAGGATAGCGACTTCCTTAGAGGTGCAAGGCTTATGGGATCATTTAAATGTATGAGAAAAGATTTTACGGAAAAAATCCAAAAAAGTGTAACGAATTTGTAAACTATATATAAGAATCTCATTGACCGACTATTTTAAATAGGGTACTGTAGAGCAAGAACAATCATTTCAATTTAATTTGTTCTATTCGTAAATGATGGGATTTGAACCATTGACCTTATTTAAAATATTTAGTATCTCATCTAAGTAGATAATTAGGTTATTGGTCAAACAATATAGTTTTAACACTGTTATGTTCGTGTTTTCAGCTTGTTTTTTTAAAATATTTACAAGAGTAAATATTTTAAACTCTTTTTAAAGCAAACAATTCCTTTATTATATATATGTTCAATCAACGCTAGAAGAAGAATAAAAACAATATTTAACTGAATCAAGCCAGCAGTCATTCTTCACGACCGCTTCCAAGGGCAACGATTTACCACAGCCGCCGCCACAACGATGGCCGCAACTCCTCCTGCCACCACAATCGGCACATTCGCCCCTTTATCTTCGCAACCAATATCTCTAACCTTTCCGCTCATAGCAGTTTCGATTGTCTTCTCGTCCACCGTATCTTTAAATTCCAACATCATCTTCTCCAACCCCATCACCTTCTTCTCGCATTGTAGTTTTACTCGGTTCCTTCTTCTCAATTCATTTCTGGTTTCCGCCACCTCGTCTTCGAGGTATTGAATCTTCTTCCTGAACTCATTGATCCTCTGCTTCATTTCCTCTTGGACTCGAGTTTTCTTGCCCCACTCGTCCTTTGCCCTCACTTCTAGAATCCCTATCTTCGTTTCCAGTTCCCTCCCTTTCTTCTCCGCCTTAACTTTCTCTTTTCTGAACTCTGCGATTTCGGAGCGTAATCTTTCGATCATTAACACTTTCTCTTCCAATCCTCTCTTTAACTCGACCACCTCCTGCTTCGCTTCGCCTACTTCACGCGTCGACGTTATGAGATCGTGTTGAAGCCTCGTGACTTCGATCCCGAGATCGGCCGATCTCGAGGCGATCGAATCCAGTTAACTCGATTCTTCTTCATCCCATTCGTCCGTTTCTTCTTCCATGGCGTGCAAATGACCCACTTCTTGATCCAGTTTATTCACCTTCTCCTTCATTCCTTTGTTTTCGTCGCTCAATCGCAGCTTCTCGCTCTTTAGTGCTTCGATTTTCGTAAGCAGCTCCGATACGTCGCCTTTGTCAGTGTTGTGAAACTTCTCCGCCGCCTCCATGTCGCTGTTGAAGGTACTCGGATTTTCATTATCTTAAATCTCTGTTTGCCTGCCAAGAAAATCACAAACAAGAAAAAGTTAGAGCAGCAAGAGAGAGAAAAACCTAAAGAATTTTTTTTCATGATTGATTAATTCAAATCAAATAATAAGAGAACGATCTTCAAACTAATTTTCTTCATTAAACCTTTCTCACGAAGAATGAAATAAGAAAACTACAAGAAGCTGCACCTTGCTGTTCTCGGTTAGGGTTTCTGCATGTTTCCCTTCCTACATGTATTTCTAAAGTTTAGAAAGCATGTAAATTTTATAAAATAAAACATGAAACCAAGTTCATTTATATAAATATAAAATTCATATTAATACGTAGTAATTATTTTAAACATAACCAACTAAATAAATAATGATACAAAATCTATATATTGAAAATTATATTTTATTAGTTGGAGAAAGGATCTAATATTACATTCCTTTTTAAGTAGTAAAATGATGCATGCAGTAAATTGCTCCTATAGGGTAGCATATTGAAAAGTTCAAATTCCTTTTTTAAGTAGTAAAATTCTTACCTTCCCTTACTCCATTACATATGAGAACAAGGAACAGTCATTTTGACGTGATTGATTTTTTGAAATTATTAGTTGGGTCATATTTTTTAAAGGAAGGGTCGGGTTAGGTTTAGGATTAAAAATCTTTGACCCGACTCGAGATAATAATATAATAATATTTTATATATTTAGATATAATTATAATAATACATCTCTATTTATATATTTTTAAATTTGATATCTATTTTATCAAATAAAAATAAATTTTTTCTACATATGCTTATGTCGAATCGGATGTAATTTTTACTCAAAAACTAAGGGGTTGTTTGTTTACTTCATAATGATTAAGCGCTGAATGATTCAAATGCTGAATGATTCAGAGACTCTGTATGAATTAGCTCTGAATGTGACATGTTGTTTGATAATGGCTCTGAATCATTCAGAATGTACTTCTGTGTTGAATCATTCTGCATTGTTTTGCTGAATCAGTCAGCACTGAATCATTCAGATGTGCGAAACAAACGCGCTGAATGCTGAGAGCGCTGAATGGTTCCATTAAGAGGTAAACAAACAGCCCCCTAAGTCTAATAAAACCAATTATAATCAACATACAAATACAAATACAAATACAAATACAAAACCAATTATAATCAACATAATAAGATGAAATGAATTTATACACGACAAAGACAATCAATGTATAACAGTAATCATGTCTTAAACTTATTGAGTAGTTTGAATGCTTAAAGGAAGTATTGTTATTTCTTATCTTAAGTTTGAACAGTTACGTTTGTAAAATATGTGTATATCATTAGTAGTTAAGAAAAATTATAAATAGATATTATCTTATAATCACCAAAACTATTAAAAAAACAGTAATCATGTCTTACATGAATCATTAGAGTTGTTCATAGACGATTAATCGTATCATTTAGCCTAAACGATTGGCTAACCATTATAATAGTTATATTTTTTAATCGTAACCTAACCGCTAACATCGTTATTAACGGTTCGATTACAAGTTAATATATAACAATTATTTTACAAAAATAACACAACGAGGACGTTTTAAAGTTTCATAATTCATACTACAAAAAAAGTGTAACACTTAACACATACCTACATCGGTGCAAGAATGTACATCTCCTAATATAATTATATATTTAATTTATTAACGGTTAACCGTTTATCAAAATTCATAACCTTAATCTTAACCTTTACCATTATTTTTAGCTGCTCGATTAACCGAAACTGTTGAACATTAATGATTTGATTAATTAACATGTTAAATATAACGATTATATCAATTAACAATTACGATTTTTTTAACACCCTTATAAATCAGAATCTAAATTAAAATAAAAACCTACACAAAACGAAGATGAGAATTGACATCCGCATGATAAAAAAAACATTAAGCTCGTAGGGCCTGAATAAACTAAAATTACTTTTAAGCCTAAAATAACTAATCTTTACGTGGGCAGATCCGTCAACTGTCTTTTGCGGTCCAAAGAAGAATATTTTTAATCGATTAGCAGCCTCAAGTGCAGTGTCTGTAGACTGAATATTTCATATCAATTTTATTGCGTTTGAATATAATAAGGAAGACGAATCTATTAAAATACTATAAACTATTTTAATTATTGAGAAGCAGTGGCCTGTAAGAACTTGGGCAATAAGTAATTATAACACAGCTTTTTCTTGATATAAATACCCAGAGAATCACACTGCATTTTCATCAGAGTTTCTCTTAAAATCCACTGTATAAATCAAATGAGACAGGAAATGGAGGGAAGAGAGGTCATTGGACGGGCTGCAACAGACGTTTCAGGACATCTTTCCCCATATTCATTCACTCTCAGGTTTTTTATTCTCTTGGATGAACGAGTTCTGTGTTGTATATTCATAATAAGTTTTCGTTTATCTAAAATTTTATAAGTTGATCTTCTAACATAAAATATTATTTCTATCATGTTTATTCTCCCTCTCATCTTACATCCGAGTCTAGATTTTTCTCAATGCTAATCGATGTTTCTATCCCATTTTCTATAGGAAAACAGGTCCAGAAGATGTGGTGTTGAAGGTATTGTATTGTGGAGTGGATCACACTGATCTGCATCAGATGAGGAGTGAGATTATGCTCATCAACTATCCTATGGTTCCAGGGTAAGTACACATACATTGGTCTCTCTAAACATAGATGATTCTAGAGGTGTAATTAAACAAAGAGGGTGAATTGTACGCGAACTATTCATATAACGTTCTATTATTAAGCTAAATAAATGAGTATGAACAGAATTTTTATGTTCATTTAATAAACGAAAAAACACGAATAAAAGTGTATTTGGATCACTTATATTCACGAACAAACTCGCTTAGCGACTCATTTATAATATCTTATATCGTTTACCTGGTTCTTCTTTTACATTTATATTATTACATTTTAAATATTGATAAAGACAATGACTAAATTAAACACAAAGTGGTTTTTAGAGTTCAAATTTTAAAGCCTAAAGAGTTTAAGGATTGGTAGTTTTCTTTGACTTCATTGGTGAAAAGAGAGTGTATAATCAATATGTTCGAAAACCCTAAATGAACATATTGGTAAAAGCTAAACTAATGTATAAATGAATATATTTGCAAACGTTAAATTAAACACAAACACATTTAAAAATAAACAAATGAATATGAGCACAATCTTATTAATTCAAATTTGATTCATTTACGTCTCTAGATAACCCTATGATGTTCACAATTTGATATCAAACTTGTTTTTTTCATCACATGCATGAAGTAGTGGGTGAGGTCTTGGAAGTGGGCTTACAAGAACAAATTCAAGCTTGGAGATAAAGTGGGAGTTGGGCGTATAATCAGCTCTTGTGGGGCATGCTTGCTTTGCAACTCCAACAGTGAACAGTATTGCAGCGAAAGGGTCTTGACCACTGGTGTCGTCCACAAAGATGGAACTCCCACCCACGGTGACTTTGCTTCTGCCATGGTTGTTCATCACAAGTAAGTCCTTGTTTCCTTCTTCAAAATTCTCTTCAAAATCGAATTCCTGGTGATTAACAGTAGAGTGGTTGCAGGTTTGTGGTAAAGATACCTGAGAAACTAGCACTAGAACAGGCAGCACCGCTCTTATGTGCTGGGGTGACGGCTTATAGTCCATTGAAGGAGTTTAACAACTCCGATAAGGCGATCAAAGCTGGGATTTTTGGGGCTCGACGGAGTTGGACATTTGGCGGTGCTGATAGCCAAGGCTATGGGGAATCATGTGACCGTGATAAGTTCTTCAGGAAAGAATAAAGTGGAGGCTTTAGAGCATCTGCATGCAGATTATTTCCTGGTGAGCTCTAATGCGGCGGAGATGGAGGGAGCTGCGGCGAGTCTTGACTACATTCTCGACACCGTTCCGGCTGTCCACGCTTTAGACCCTTACGTTTCACTTCTCAACGTTGGTGGGAAGTTAATTTTGGTCAGGGTTGTCACAAAGCCCCTCCACTTCAACACCGAAGACTTGGTTCTAAGTAGGGGTGTAAACGAGCCGAGTCGAGCTCGAATATTATCGAACTCAACTAGAACTCAAAAACTTTTTATGTAAGAACGACTCGAACTCGAAAAAACTCAAACTGAAAAATAAATTCAAAAGATCAACTAAAACTCGAATCTCAAACGGACTTAATCGCTCAATAAGCCTCGTGCGGCCTTAGCTCCTTTTCGCCCCTCGCGATAGCTAAGTCAGCCTCACTCGAACTCGTGCTAGAGAAAAGATTGGCAAGGAAACAAAGAAGAAAGAACTTAGAGAGAAAGCTTGTTGAATGCTTGAATGCTTACAACTCTTGGATGATTTACAAATGAGGATTCTACACCTATTTATAGCATCCCACCTCCTCAATGGACGGTGGAGATTGATTTGATCCTACGGTAGGGAGAGATTCTCTAGAATTCTCCATTATTTCCTACCTAACATGGAAGACTCTAGAATGCTTCTAGAATATGTACAAGTCTTGAGTGTTCTAGAATAATCTACACTATTCTATCAACCTCTAAGACCAAATGTGGCCCAACATAGCCAAAATAGCCCAAAGTGTGGGGAAAAGGCCCAATTTCGTGACATTCTCCCCCACCTATTCTGGCGTCGTCCTCGTCGCCTCGTACACTTTGAGATGTTCTTCGAACTGCCACAAGTCTTCAGCTAGTTCCCATGTTGCCTCGGACTCTGGTAGTCCTTTCCACTTGATTAAATACTCGGTATGCGGTGGGACTCCTCTCTTGCGGACCGTCCTGCTTGTGAGCACCGTTTCCACCTCTTTGTCATAAGACTTGGTTACTACGGGAGGTGCTCGATGCGAATACCCTCGGCTTGGGTCTTCCTTGTCGGCATGATATGGCTTGAGCATACTTACATGGAAGACCGGATGAATCTTAAGTGTACTTGGCAAGTCTAAGCGATAAGACACTTTTCCCACCTTGGCAAGTACTTGGAATGGTCCCTCGTATCTCCGTATTAGTCCTTTGTGAACGCTTCGGAGGGCTTTGAATTGTTGTGGCAAAAGCTTCACAAACACTAGGTCTCTAACGGAGAACTCTCGATGTCGCCTCTTCTCGTCCGCCCATTTCTTCATCTTCTTTCGTGCTTTCTCCAGACATGCGCGGGCGATGTCGGCGTTCTCCTCCCATAACTTAGCCATCTTGGCGGCCCCGGGACTCTTACCCTCGTCAAGTGGCATTGTCAATGTGTGCGGCGTGAGCGGTTGTTGTCCGGTCGCAAGCTCGAACGGACTCCGGCCTGTGGCTTCACTTCGCTGCAAGTTATAAGAGAATTGGGCGACGTCTAGCAATTTAGCCCAATCTCGCTAGTTAGCACTCACAAAGTGCCGCAAATAACACTCCAATAAGGAGTTCACCCGTTCGGTCTGCCCATCAGTTTGAGGTTGAAAGCTTGTGGAGAAATTTAACTCGGTGCCAAGGAGCTTGAACAATTCTGTCCAAAGACGTCCGGTAAATCGAGGGTCTCGATCACTGATGATGCTCCTTGGTAGGCCCCAATGCTTCACGACATTCTTGAAGAATGCTCGCGCGGCCTCCTCCGCAGTGCAATCCTTGGGGCATGGTATGAAAGTCCCATACTTAGAAAATCGGTCCACGACGACCATGATCGAACCGTATCCCTCGGACTTGGGTAATGCACTAATGAAATCCAAGGTGATCGTATCCTAAGGTCTTTGGGGAACTGGTAAAGGTTCCAGTAATCCCGCCGGCTGTCGGTTCTCCACTTTGTCTTGTTGGCACACAAGACAAGTCTTCACGTAAAGCTCCACGCTATCCTTCATATGGGGCCAAAAGTATGCCGTCTCTAGCAATGCCATTGTGCGCTTTTGACCCGGATGACCAGCCCACTTGGTGTCGTGACACTCTTTGATAAGATCTCGCCTTAAGTTGTCCCACTTTGGAACATAGATTCGTCGCCCCTTGGTGTAGAGTAGACCGTCCTCTACCCAAAACCGTTGGGTTTTGCCATCGCTAGCCAGCTTTACTAATTCTCTTGCCATTGGATCTTGCTCAAGGCCCTCCTTGATGCGCTCCAACACGGTTCCCTTGGCTAGAGAGATCGCGGCGAGCTCCGCCTTTCGACTTAAGGCATCGGCTACAACGTTGGCTTTGCCCGGCTTATATTCCAACGTGCAGTCAAACTCGGCTAGGAAGTCTTGCCACCTAGCTTGTTTTGGTGATAGCTTCTTCTGGGTCTGAAAGTAACTCGTCGCCACGTTGTCGGTTTTGATGGTGAAGTGCGCGCCGAGTAAGTAATGTCTCCATACCCGCAAGCAATGGATGATGGCTGTCATCTCCTTCTCTTGCACTGTGTACCGCCTCTCGGTGTCATTCAGCTTGCGGCTCTCAAATGCTATCGGATGCCCCTCTTGCATTAATACTCCCCCGATAGCGAAGTCGGATGCATCGGTATGCACCTCGAACGGTATGGTAAAGTCGGGTAAGGCCAAGACAGGTTCTTGGCTAACTGTTGCCTTCAGGTTCTCAAAGGCCTTTTGACATTGTTCGGACCACTCCCATGCCTTCCCCTTCTTGAGTAGGTCCGTTAATGGTGATGCTCGCACCGAGTAGCCCTGTATAAACCGGCGATAATAATTTACTAGACCAAGGAAGGACCTCATCTCACTTACCTTGGTCGGTGGCTCCCACTCGGTTATGGCCTTGATTTTGTTCCTGTCCATTAATAGCTTCCCGTGGCCGATTACATGTCCAAGGAAGTGTACCTCCTCGGTGGCAAACGTGCACTTTTTCTTCTTGACGTACAGCTCGTTTTCTCGAAGTATCTTGAACACAATCATCAAGTGGTCTACATGTTCTCCGATGGAGTTACTGTATACCACGATATCGTCCAAGTACACCACCATGAACTGGTCCAAGTACGGTTGGAAGAGCTTGTTCATGAGCGTGCAAAACGTCGCCGGTGCATTGGTTAGACCAAAGGGCATGACCAACCACTCGTACGATCCGTATCGGGTGATGCATGCAGTCTTTGGCTCGTCGCCTTCTGCTATTCGAACTTGGTAGTAGCCTTTTTTCAAGTCCATCTTCGTGTACACCTTGGCTCCTCCAAGTCTGTCAAATAAATCGGCAATCAAAGGGATCGGTAGCGATTTTTAATGGTTACCTTGTTAAGTGCTCGGTAATCGACGCACATGCGCAATAACCCATCATGCTTCTTTTGGAAGAGTACCGGTGCGCCATACGGTGCCTTCGAAGGTCGAATCATTCCCATATCGACTAGCTCCTTGAGTTGCCTTCGAAGTTCCTCAAGTTCGGGTGGGGCCATTCGGTAGGGTGCCAGGGCAGGCGGCTTGGCACCGGGTTCTAACTCGATTTTGTGATCCACCTCACGCCTTGGTGGAAGTTTATTTGGTAACTCGGGCGGCATCACGTCCTTGTTTTCCTCTAAGACTTCACGGATGATTAATGGTAGGTCATCCGTTTCCTCGATCTCGTCATCTTCCTTTAGCATGGCCAAGTAAGTAATGTCTCCTTTCTTGATGCCTTTACCAAGTTGTATGGCCGAGAGTTGTGTGGTATCTCGACCTTGCTCTTTTGGTACCTCGATCGTGGGGATCATGCAAGGAGACCATTTCTCCAAGATGCAAACAAAACTAAAGGAAGGCATAGGGATAGCGGTTACCTGTCGGAGAAAGTCTAACCCCAAAACGACCTTAAACTCTTCCATGGGAATGACAGAAAAGTTCACTTGGCCCTTCCAAGTGCCTAAGCGTAGCTCGACCCCTCGTGCCACGCCATGGAGTGGTACAGCTTGTGTGTTTACCGTCTTGAGCCATCCTGTGCTCCCAGTGTACTTTAGGCCCAAACGGTTGGCTTCGTCTTTAGACACGAAATTGTGGGTAGCTCCCGTGTCCACCATGGCTCTTATCGGCTTCTCGTTGATCACCGCTTCCACATACATGAGCCCATTACTCGATGTTGGTGTCAATGGCTTGGCCTTCAAGGCGTTTAGAACTTGGAGTGACCCCATCTTGGCTTGAGACTCTGTGTCTTGACGATCGACGATGGCAGACAATGAACCAAGTTTGGGACAGCTACTCATCGGATGCGGTCCTTTACACAAGAAGCATCCTCCTTTGGGAACGTAGGCCTTTTTCTTCTCTTCATAGTCCCTTCGGCCCGAACGTCGATCACGATCTCCCTCTTTATTTTGTGGCCTTCGATGATCTCGGTCTCGATTGCCTTGGTAATTCTCCCGCCGTTCTCCCCCACATTTGGCTGGATACTTATCTTTATTTTTCGTTGCATTGGTATGGGAGTAGGGTTGGAAGTCGACGAGTGACTCGGCGATGGCAATGGCCTCATCAACCGTTTTAATGTCCCGACGGTGTATCTCTTGCTTGGCCCATCCTTGTAGTCCGTCAATGAAGTAGAACAAGAGATCTTCTTCGGACATATTGGGAATTTGAAGCATAAGGGTTGTGAATTCTTTCACATAGTCCCGCATAATACCCCGTTGCTTCAACTCTCGCAATTTCTTGCGAGCCTCGTATACCACATTCTCGGGATAGAAGTGCTTCTTGAGTTCTTTCTTGAACTCATCCCACGTATCTACCCGACAAGCTCCTCGCTCAATGTCGGCATGTTTCCTACGCCACCATAACATAGCAGTATCGGAAAGATATAAGGCAGCGGTCTTTACCTTGGCGGCCTCGTCGTTAAGGCCGATTCCCTCAAAGTATTGCTCCATCCGCCATAGATAGTTTTCGACTTCCTTGGCGTCCCTTGCCCCGTTGAACCCTTGCGGCTTGGGGTACTCAACCCTCGGGGTGGAGACATAGTTAGCACCCCCGCTAACGGCGGCTCTCTTGCAGAGCGTCAAGTCCTCCCGCATCCCCTCGATGCTTTCACGGACGGCTTGGATCATATCCTCTAGCTGTATGAACCGAGCTTCCACCTCGTTATTGGTCTCTTCGGCATTTCCTTTGAGTGTGTCAACTTGCTCCAAGACATGGTCCTCCAACGTCTTGAAGTCGTGCTGGACCCTTTCCAACTTCTCGCCAAACTCTGCCACCATCGGTTCTATGAAAGTGCTCTCGCGGGCCTTACTTTGGTCCCTCTTCTTATTCTTGTTGGTGGGTGCAGCTTCTCTTCCACGTTCCTCAGCAACAGTCGACTCGTTCGAATTTCCGGCCATTCCTACAATACACGTGCACGATATTGACGCCTTTACCGGCTCTGATACCAACTGTCACGGACTTAATCGCTCAATAAGCATCGTGCGGTCTTAGCTCCTTTTCGCCCCTCGCGATAGCTAAGTCAGTCTCACTCGAACTCGTGCTAGAGAAAGGATTGGCAAGGAAACAAAGAAGAAAGAACTTAGAGAGAAAGCTTGTTGAATGCTTGAATGCTTACAACTCTTGGATGATTTACAAATGAGGATTCTACACCTATTTATAACATCCCACCTCCTCAATGGACGGTGGAGATTGATTTGAATCTACGGTAGGAAGAGATTCTCTAGAATTCTCTATTATTTCCTACCTAACATAGAAGACTCTAGAATGCTTCTAGAATATGTACAAGTCTTGAGTGTTCTAGAATATTCTACACTATTCTATCAACCTCTAAGACTAAATGTGGCCCAACATAGCCAAAATAGCCCAAAATATGGGGAAAAGGCCCAATTTCGTGACAGAAGACTTGGTTCTAAGTAGGGGTGTAAACGAGCCGAGTCGAGCTCGAATATTATCGAACTTAACTAGAACTCAAAAACTTTTTATGTAAGAACGACTCGAACTCGAAAAAACTCAAACTGAAAAATAAATTCAAAAGATCAACTAAAACTCGAATTTCAAGCTCAATTAAAACTCAACTCAAAAAAATTTCAAGAGCTCGATTAAAACTCGAAATTCAAACTCAATTCAAACTCAATTGAAGCTCAATTCAAACTTAATTGAAGCTCGAGAATTTAAACTCGATTCAAGCTCGATGATTGTTTTAAACCTGCGTATCCCTTGCCTTTTATAATAGACTCAAATATTCTCTCTCTATTCACTACCGATGTGGGATTGTTTTCAATTCACAACTCTACAACTTTCTCCTTCTTCCCCTGTTTTTTTCACGTCAAAAAGCCTTCTCTTTCACATATTTTCCCACCACCCAAACACTCCTAGAGTCAAGAAAACATAGTAGCGTACAACAGGTTGAGAATGGTGGTTCTAATCTTTCAATCCAGACGGTGAAAATTTGGGGGGTGGAGAAAACATATACAGTTCAACAGCTTCTGACTTTACCGCCGTTCAACAGCAGCGTCAATGCCCTGTCTTGGGTTGGTCTCGACCGACAAAGAAATCACGGTCTTCTTGCAGTTGGAATGGAAACTGGACTCCTTGAAATTTGGAGCCTTCATGTCGAAAGAGGCGATGACAGCATTTCAACGCCAAGTGTGAACGCTGCTCCGATCATCCAGCTCGATCCTTTCATGTGCCATGTTTCTGCAGTTAACCGTTTGGCGTGGAAGAACCATGAGAAGAATGAAAATTGCAGAAGCCTCCAGCTTGCTTCTTGCGGAGCTGATAATTGTGTGAGGGTGTATTCAGGCCTGTCGGCATCACCGTGTGGGCTGTTACCTTCGGTACTATCAAACGTACAATTTCACGGATTATTATTTTGATGGTTTCCATGGGTCACGGTGTCATGAGGCCGACCCTCGGTGGGCTTACTTCGAATGTAATCATGGTTGGAGTAACCTTCTTTCTGGCATCCGAAGCTCTTGAACTGGTGGAAAATGCCGGTGCAGTGAGTGATCTTTCGGGAAAGGCGAGACTGTTTTTGGTTCTTCCCGTCGCAATCTTAGATGCCTTCTTCATTCTTTGGATATTTACTTCCCTCTCTGAAACTTTAAATAAACTTCAGGTATGTTTTCTTCTTCAACTTTTTCAAATAATTGTAGTATTCATACATGCATTCGATTATTGAGTTTATCTCATCTTTTGAAATTCTATAATGAAAGTTTAGCAATGGTATATTGGTGCAACAGGCTAGAAGGATGATGGTAAAACTGGAAATATACAGGAAGTTCACAAATGCACTGGTAGTAGCCGTTATCGTATCAGTGGGTTGGACGTGTTACGAGGTAGTCGAATCCATTATTTTCGATGCTATCTTTCAGCTGCTTTCGAATAAAGCATTATGCAATCTTGCATCTTTAGAATAGGAAGTATGAGACAGAGTAATGTGAAAAACTGAAATAGTAATAATATTTAGTGTCAAACTAGAAAAAATAAAATAATAATATTTTGTATTTTTATCAATTTTAATATATATATATATATATATATATATATTATATCTTATACTCGTATCACTAATAACATTTAGTAACTTCTCAAATGGTTACATGATAATATAAGCTCATTGTCACCTTCATTTCAAAAAAAAAAATCTTTCAATCCAGACAACTTTATTTTAATTGCTTATTTCTTATTAATCATAACTTTTATCTTTCAATCGGTATATTTATTTTGCATGTTGATATGTTTATGTATAAGTATGCGATTGATTTATTTAGGAGTCACATAACATCATTTTGCATAATTTATATGTTACCTTCATGTGCATAATTTAACCTCTATCATATAATCGGATTTAGGGTTTATGGTTTATATTTTAAGGTTTATGATTTAGGGTTTAAGGTTTAGATATTAATTAATCGACTTGGTATTGATTTATGAGGTAAGTATGATTTAGGGTTTATGATTTAGAGTTTAGGGTTTAGGGTTTAGGGTTTAGGGTTTAGGGTTTAGGGTTTAGGGTTTAGGGTTTAGGGTTTAGGGCTCATTGCAAAGACATTAATTAAATTTTGAGGGTAGTTGAATTATAAAATTTTTAATATATTTTTAAAATTTTATAATTATCAATAGTATATTTTTATTATTTTTTTAATAATGTAATTTTAAAAAATCTAAAATTATAATATAACATTTTTTCGAGCTGCTCACGAGCTTTTCGAGTCGAATATCGAGTAGCTCGTTTCGGCTCATTAAGAACTCGAGTCGAGCTCGAGCTCGAGTCAAGTTCATTCGATCCGAGTATTTATCAAGCCTTGACCGAGTCGATCTCGAATAGCTCGCGATCTGTCTCGTCTCATTTACAGCCCTAGTTCTAGGTAATTGTCGTACCCTCACTAAAGCTCATTCGCATAAATTATTTTCACATTTCACAGCCACACTAGAATCGTAGAATACTTCCGAATTTCTGACATCAAAGGAATTTCAAAAGACATGAAGTAAACGTCTTTGGAAAAAAGATCTTGAAGATCTAAAGTTTGAGAAACTTCAGTTAATTGATATGACATCTAACATGTCTATATGACTTATCAAAATTAAATTCATCTTCACCTAATCATATTAACTTAGTCTATTAGTCTATCGATAGTCATTATGATCATATAATTGACACACGACACTAACAAAATCCTATAAAATCTCTCTACTAGGATAGAGAGATAGAATGAGACCTCTATGAAACTTCCTTATCTTTATTCTCCTGTGAGTTTTCTTCTCATGAAGATAAAACCTTTCGATGTCAATCAACGATTGATATTCATCGGTTATGACTTTCCGTCTAAATAAAAAGAGATAAACAATTGATAGTCGTCACAATCTATTTGATCTCATCAACATTAATCAAAACAAAATTAATCGACATTTATTGTTTAATAGTATATATCATATAAAAAGTATTGCTGGTTTGCAAGTAAATTTGATTGAGATGACTGCAGGGAAGAAGAAATTGACGGGAAATTTCATAGGAAGCATTGCAGAAACACAAGAAATACTGGAGTTTTGGGCAGAGAAGGGTCTGAGTTCGATGCTAGAGGTGGTGAAGATGGATTATATAAACACAGCTTTTCAGAGATTGGAGAAGAATGATGTGAGGTACAGATTTGTACTTGATGTTGCTGGCAGCAACCTTGAATGAATGAATGATTCATAGCTCATTTTCCAAGAAAATACCATAACAAGTTTTCACTCAAATAATTCTAATCCAATAGGATTGAGTTTGTATTTTGCTTACCCTATCTTCTCCAGCAATACAGAGCATGTTAGACTCCACAATCATAGATATATGTGAAAAAAAATCATAGATTTAATTGTTTTTTCAAAAATTTAAAATTATAAATTCATTAAGTGGATTCAATGGTAAAAACGAAAAGTTATGTTCTTTAGAAGTCCCGAGTTCGAGCAACTACGCCTGTATGTATATATGGTGTCAATAACTTAATAAAGTTATGAACTCATCAAGTGGCTTAAGTGGTAAAAAGAAAAATTATGCTCCCTAGAAATCATGGGTTCGAGCAACTACGTATGTATGTGTATATGCTGTCAATAGCTTAAAAAAATTCTGAAAAGATACAATCTTACAATCATCACATACTGTTAAAAACAATTTAAAAATTCATAAATCTAAAATAAAACACTGTCTGTACAAACAAACATAAAGTTGCAAAAGTGAGTGTTGGTGGACTTAAAATGAAGAAGTTTGATTGGCAAATGGCTTTACAAGATCCTCAGAGGCCAAATAGTAACTTTTGATAAGCTGAAGAGGCCAGAGGTTATTGTCTGGTTTGGATGCATATGAAGAAGAGGATTAATGCAGTCCACAAAGGTAACCCATGAATGCTCAGTTTTTGTCTTTGTTTTGCCCCCACTCCCATCTCCTTTCACTACTTCCTAGGGCTGACCAAGTAATTTAAAAAAAAACAAAAAAATAGAGAAAAAATTTTAAGAAATAAATTTAATCGGATCCCTCAATTGAAAAAAATTATATTTTTAGAAAAATAAAAAAAAAATCTAATTTTGCTCATGTTCACGTGTAACATGAAAATTCATGACCAACTATATAGCCATGGAGAAAATTAAACAACTGTCATCTTGTTATGTTAGTTGCTTTAATAAATTTTAAAATTCGAAATTTAAAATAAAATTATTGAGTATCCTCAAATTATACAATGGTCGAGAAGCTGAATGAAATATTAGATCTATTAAGAATGTGAAGGAGAAACAATAACATATTAAAGCTGGCAAGAAATAATCGAAGATTTATCTAATAAATGTGTTTGAATGGAAAATAAATTTATTTTACCTAAAAGGAAATACATACAATTACATATCATATACACATCTTTAACACAAACATAGATCGACCTATCATTTTCTCTTGTGATTGAAATCAGTCATATTATTTTCTTTTATTTTAATCTACAAGAAAAATATAAACTAAAATCATCAATATTTTTTTACGACACTAGAAAAATCTTTCGCAATTGTAATCGATTTTAGTCCTTAATTTTTCTTTACTTATTACAAAGGATGGATTTATTAAATTTGTCAATATATAAAAATTATTATTCATATAATTTTTGAGTTCAAATAATTACGTTTGTAAAGTGTGTAAATATTATTAATTATTAAAAAAATATTATTTTATAATCATATCGTATTATTAAAAGAATAAAAGGGAAGAACAGTTGCCGTTTTGTGCTATAAATAAGAAAGCGAGGCAACTGCCGAGTGTCAGTCAGTGTATCATCTCGTGATGTAATCTTGTGTTACGCTTTCTTGTGTTGAAGTCATAAGTTACCCATTGGAATTGCTTTGCTCCCTATTTTCTATCCATTTATTTCTCCACCCATCACGGGTATCACTCCTTCTTTCCTTCACTTTCTTCTTCATTTAGATAGATTTCTCCACACATTGTATTTGAATCACCTTTTTTTTCTCCAATTTTCCTGGTTTGGGTTCAGCGGATTCATCGCCACAAATCATTTTAATCAAACTTTTTTGAATTTTTGTTTACTGCTGAAAACAATAAATTCATCCGTAATTTGTTGCTGCAATAAATTTTCTTTATTCCTTGGGCTTTCACTGGTTCATAAAGGGCAGGAATGGCAGGTAGGAAAGTGGAGAAGATGGCTTCAATAGACGCACAGCTGAGGCTATTAGCACCTGCGAAAGTCTCTGAGGATGACAAGTTGGTCGAATATGATGCTTTGCTTTTGGATCGTTTTCTCGACATTCTTCAAGATTTACATGGAGAGGATATCAGAGAAACGGTATTAATTCACCACTACTTTCAATTTCATGATTAGCAACTAAGAGTGAGCTTCCCATTGAGTCAAATTAAAATTTTTTGAGTTAAATCTAATTGAACATTTTTATTTTATAAATCAAATTTTATTTGAATTTTTTTAGTCAAATCTAATTATTTAAATTTAATTATAAATATTTATAATATAATATTCCTAATTAATTCTAATTTAAACGGATTTTTATAACTATATATATATTTAATGCAAAGTTGAGAAATTTTACTCAAAATAAAATATCAATGCACAAATTATTAAAATAATTTCAATTCTAATTAGTTAAATCGAATTAAAAAATTATTTTTTTTCGAGTCTTGCGTTTAGTTTTCCTCACCCCTGTTAGCAAAAACTGATATATTGGGGTTAATGTTATTAGCTCTCTCTAGAGTATGAAGGGAAATGTGACCCTAAAATATTGGAGGAGCTTCGGAAAGTATATAGGAGATAGTTAGTAGTCTTATTTTATAAATTAAATTTTATCCGAGTTTCTTTTTTAATCTGGATCAAGTTTATAAAGTTTGAGTTGAGATAAACTGAGTTGTTCAAGTTTATGTTTAAGTTTGAGTTCAGTTTAAACTGTTTTTTTATAGTTATATACATATATAATGTAGAGTTGAGAATTTTACTCAAACTTGAAAACTAATCTAATTACTAAAAAATGAGTTATAAACTTAAACTCAAGTTGAGTTTATAAAATTATGAGTTGAATTAAATCAAGTCGAGTAGAAAAATTTGATATTTTTTAATCGAGTTGTGTTCACCCCTATTAGCAGCTGATGTATCGCGGCTAATGTTGTTAGGTTCAAGAATGTTATGAGCTGTCTGCTGAGTATGAAGGGAAGCGTGACCCTAAAATATTGGAGGAGCTTGGGGAAGTGATAACAAGCTTGGATCCAGGGGATTCAATTGTGGTTACCAAATCATTCTCCCATATGCTTAACTTGGGCAATTTGGCTGAGGAGGTTCAAATTGCTTATAGGAGGAGGATCAAGTTGAAGAAAGGAGACTTTGCTGATGAAAGTTCTGCAACCACTGAATCAGACATTGAAGAGACCTTCAAGAGACTTGTGGGGCAGTTGAACAAGTCCCCTGAAGAAGTTTTTGATGCTTTGAAGAATCAAACTGTAGATTTAGTCTTGACCGCCCATCCTACTCAGTCTGTTAGGAGATCTTTACTTCAAAAACATGGAAGGTGTGTCTTCTTGTTTTCGACTTACCTATGTCTCACCATTTTAACAAGGATATGAGTCTTGCCCTGATTTTATTACATTGAGTGGTTAGAAATGGAGTGTTAAGAGTTCCTATCATTGATTCCTTGGATTAATGATGGCATTTGTTAGAAGATTTTTTCTGGTTTATGTTGTAATTCACTGAGAATTCTGTTTTCAATCTTGCAGGATACGTAATTGTTTAACTCAGTTGTATGCTAAAGACATTACTCCGGATGATAAGCAGGAGCTTGATGAGGCGCTACAAAGGGAGGTAAGGACTTGCAAAAACTATGATGAGCTTGTTTGCATGACACATGATAATTTAATTTACTTTTAGTCGTGGACCGTACAACTTTGTGTGCTTCAGCATTGACATGTGATGTTCACCCTTACTCGGTCTTCATACATGCATATATAATCTGCGTGTAGATATATACGTATATGTTTGAGTCTTGGATTTTGTACTTGTCATTAGAAGTGCAGGGAACTGAGGCTTATATTCCAGAATGCTAAATCAAGATATGACAACTCTCTCTTTTTTTGTTCATATAGATTCAAGCTGCTTTTCATACGGATGAGATCCGTAGGAATCCTCCCACCCCACAAGATGAGATGAGAGCTGGAATGAGCTACTTCCATGAGACAATCTGGAAAGGTGTACCGAAATTCTTGCGTCGTGTTGACACGGCTTTGAAGAACATAGGGATAAATGAACGTGTTCCCTACAATGCCCCTCTTATTCAATTCTCTTCATGGATGGGAGGGGATCGTGATGGTATGTTTCTTTTCCATATATATTTAACTGAACAGTGTCTTCATTTTTGCAAATAGTTTGTCGCTTAAATGAGGGAACATTGCAAGTTGCAACTATAAATCTTATTTATCTTACAGTAGGCATGTGAAAGAAGAATATATTGTATTCTATTATTAATCGAGTTGAAATGCAGAAATGCTTACCTTATTACATATACCGAGACTGATAAGCGGAGATATATTTGTTGTGGACTGCAGGAAATCCCAGAGTAACTCCGGAAGTTACAAGAGATGTATGCTTGTTGGCTAGAATGATGGTGGCTAACTTGTACTTCTCCCAAATAGAGGATCTTATGTTTGAGGTGTAAAAATGATAACTTCACAGCCCCTAACACTTATTCCTCTAGTTAGAGTGTAGATCGTGGTGTATTGTTAAGATTTTGATTCATCTTCTTTCCTTTTGCTCTGGTTTGTTTTTAGTTATCAATGTGGCGCTGCAGCGATGAACTTCGTGTTCGTGCAGATGAACTTCATAGGGCCTCGAAAAAAGATGTAAAACATTACATAGGTATGTAACATTGATCTTAACCCATGCTTTAACTTCTACACTTGATTTTGACTTATCAGTAATGGGTGTTCATATTCTTGTAAATTGCTTCCAGAATAATACGTGCATTAGCTCCATAAGATTGAAATATTGTTTGGGTATAATTTGTAGATCGATGTGTTCATTGTTAAAAAAAAATTTGAGTGCAGAATTCTGGAAACAGATTCCTCCAAATGAGCCGTATCGTGTTATTCTTGGTGATGTGAGAGATAAGCTGTACAATACACGGGAACGTGCTCGTCACCTGTTGGTTAATGGGTTTTCTGACATTCCTGAAGAAGCAGCGTTCACCAATGTGGAGCAGGTCTGTACTTTAAACTTAATCTGATGAACTTGCTGAGTTACAGCTGATTTAGTCAATTTCCTAGTGTTGCATATTTCTTACCATTTTTTTTATATTTCTGTAGTTTCTGGAGCCTCTTGAACTCTGCTATAGCTCACTCTGTGCTTGTGGTGATCGGCCAATTGCCGATGGAAGCCTTCTTGATTTCTTACGGCAAGTTTCTACCTTTGGGCTTTCACTTGTGAGACTTGATATCCGACAGGAATCCGACAGGCATACTGATGTCCTTGATGCTATCACAAAGCATCTAGATATTGGATCTTATCGAGAATGGCCTGAAGAACGCCGACAGGAATGGCTCTTATCTGAACTCAGAGGCAAGCGTCCTCTATTCGGCCCTGATCTTGCCAAATCAGAAGAAGTCGCTGATGTGCTGGACACTTTTCACGTCATTTCTGAACTGCCTTCAGACAGCTTTGGTGCCTATATTATCTCGATGGCAACAGCCCCATCTGATGTGCTTGCTGTTGAGCTTTTGCAACGTGAATGCCATGTAAAGCAACCATTAAGGGTGGTTCCGTTGTTTGAAAAACTCGCTGATCTTGAAGCTGCTCCTGCTGCTGTGGCTCGCCTCTTCTCAATAGATTGGTACAGAAATCGGATCAATGGGAAACAGGAAGTGATGATAGGCTACTCAGATTCTGGAAAAGATGCTGGCCGTCTCTCTGCAGCTTGGCAGCTATACAAGGCACAAGAGGAACTTGTAAAGGTTGCAAAGCAGTATGGTGTTAAGCTTACGATGTTCCATGGCCGAGGAGGGACTGTTGGGAGAGGAGGGGGACCGACTCATCTTGCTATATTATCTCAACCACCAGATACAATTCACGGTTCACTTCGAGTAACAGTTCAAGGTGAAGTTATTGAGCAATCCTTCGGAGAGGAGCACTTGTGCTTCAGGACACTTCAGCGTTTTACTGCTGCTACACTTGAGCATGGAATGCATCCCCCCGTATCACCAAATCCAGAATGGCGTGCACTCATGGATGAAATGGCACTAGTTGCGACAAAGGAATACCGTTCTGTAGTCTTCCAGGAACCTCATTTTGTTGAATACTTCCGCCTAGTAAGTATTTCACCGCTATAATCCCTTACTCGGTACTTCAATCGAATTCTTCATAATATTTTCTACAAGTCTTAATAGTTAAAAGTGACAATCTTAATTAACCTGTTGCAGGCAACACCGGAATTGGAGTATGGTCGGATGAATATCGGAAGTCGTCCATCGAAAAGGAAGCCAAGTGGAGGCATCGAATCACTCAGAGCAATCCCATGGATCTTTGCATGGACTCAAACAAGATTTCATTTGCCGGTGTGGCTTGGCTTTGGGGCAGCTTTTAAGCATGTGATCGAGAAGGACACGAAGAATCTCCAGATGCTCCGAGACATGTACAACCAGTGGCCTTTCTTTAGGGTCACAATGGACTTAATTGAAATGGTGTTTGCCAAGGGAGACCCTGGTATTGCTGCCTTGTATGACAAGCTACTAGTATCAAAAGAACACTTGCCCTTTGGAGAGAAATTGAGAGCCAACTATGAAGAAACCAAGCTTCTTGTTCTCCAGGTAATAAAAACAGGCAGACGAATGCAGTGATTCTAGTATATAGCTATTTATATGAAGCCTAGCAACAATTTCGCCTTGTTTTGTAGGTTGCTGGACATAGAGATCTTCTCGAAGGCGACCCGTACCTGAAGCAGAGACTCCGACTTCGTGATGCTTACATCACGACTCTTAATGTCTGCCAAGCATACACTTTGAAAAGGATCCGAGACCCGGATTATCATGTGAAGGTAAGGCCGCACTTATCCAAGGAATACATGGAATCGAGGAAGTCGGCAGCCGAGCTAGTGAAACTCAACCCGACAAGCGAGTATGCTCCTGGTCTGGAAGACACCCTTATATTGACCATGAAGGGTATTGCTGCTGGCATGCAAAACACTGGTTAAAACTAAACATAGCCCCAAACTTGCGGATTGTTGTCTTTTTTCTAGATTCCCATTGCATGTAATGGTTGACCCCTTTCTAAGGTTGTATTTGCTTCAAGTAAACCCTTTTTTGTTATTATTATGATAAATTATACCATATATTACTGAATTTTAAGTGATGCATCGTTTATAGCAATAAACTTTTAATTTCATCGATCACATTATTACACTTTGATTTTAATTTCAATTATATCACTTGATTGTTAAAATCCAAATTGTACAATGGCATGGACAAAATAAATTGTTTTGGTGCAGGTATATATGTCTAAAACCACTCTGAGACGCAGAGCTTTAAGGGCATATCAATTTTATTATTAAACTATTAAATAATTTTAATTTTGATATCATATTTTTTAGGTTTTTGTTGACAGTAATATTAACCAATCATCGCGATAAAATCAATATCAAAATGTTGCCATTTCGCTTCTCTCTTTTCTTTTTGGGTTTTCCACGAAACGCGTTTAAAGCATTGCAATTAAACAAAACAAAATCTATCACTTGTAGAGGTTTAGAGACTTTCTTAGATAATAATAAATCTAAATAATAATAAACATTATTTCAAGAATACGAATAAATCTGAAATTTGAGGTGCATTATATAATTTTAAGATAACACAAATACTAGCATAAAGACATCTTCGTAGACTATGTTGTTCAGATTCTTCAGTAATAAGCATAGGATCAAGTGCCCCCAATATATATATATCGCATGTCTGAGCTTTAGTTGTACATATATATTATAGCAGATCGATAAAGCAATGTGATGCAGCTTTAAACTTAACAAAGCTTCCTAAAAGAAAACAGTAAAAAAAAAAGGGCAAAAAAGGTTGAGCCAAATCAGATGAATAATGTACAGATTTTTTTAGAATGAAACGTTAATAATTTAGGCTTCTTTCCAGCCATCCAGATGGAGGGACAAAATAATTATATTCCCACACTTTATCCAACCTTTTCTTCTCATAGGGAGACATGGGCACGCTAGTGGTAGTGAGATCATTTCACGGTTCGTAAAACGGACATAGAAGATATCGTAGTTTCACCGGAAAATAAAAATGCAAAGATATAGAAAACAACTCAGCAATTTCAGAAATGTAAGCTAAGAAGCTATTTTCTCTCGAGTCTCGAGGCTTTTATCCGATCTCGATAGAGTTCTATGAAACAATTATGTGGTTTGATTTATGTCACATGTAAAACTGTTGATCCTAGTATGAATCAAGATATGACAATGAATACTTTGGACAATTATCATCAAATGCTGTTTGTGGCAAAGATTAAGCAAATTCCATTCTATTTTTACCTTTTCTTTCTATAGAATATAGTTCCTCACTGAGTCCTCTAGGATCTGATGGGTAGGGCTGATCATCTCCTTCAATTTGTCTCCGTTCTTATAAATCTTAAAAGTCGGGACCATTCTTATACCCTCTGCTTTCGCCACTGCTAAGCTTTCCTCTGCATCAACCTTCAATCACAAAACGATGATCGTATGTTAATGCTTAAACATCGTTGCATTCACGCCATTTTGTGTTTGTTACATCAATATGGAAGCAATGGACGCGAACAAAATAAGTTCGTCAAAGTTAAGAACCCCGAACGCCTACCTTGTAAAAATGAATAGATGGATACCGAACACAAAGCAAATTCACGAATGGGGATATTTCTTCACATTGTTCATTGGCTGCCACTTTAAAGTGGACCACTGATATGCCTGAAATTTTAAACTTGTAAATCAGACAAGAAAATCAAGACCCAAGTTGAGAGAAAAAGAGATCCACATATAAGCATCAATCTTACCTGGAGACGATATGGCAGTTTTAAATATCTCTAGGCTAGAAATTTCCTCTACTTCACCGCTGATTTTCGTTTTATGAATATCAACTCCACGAGATTTCTTCAAAGCAACTTGTGCATTATGCAGAGACTCAGCAACTTCAATGTCTCCGGGAAGTTCCTTTCTCAAGAGCTCATAATCTCTCACAGCATCCGCCCATCGTCCAAGCTAAAAACCCATAACAACATATCCTCATATATCAGTTCCCAATCGACAAAAAATGATACTTGAATACACATGCACCAAAAAGAAACCATACAAAATGTCATTTCACCTTTCCATTTGAAGCAGCCCTTCGAAGTAGTGCCTTTTTGTAGTTTGGTTGGATTTTTAGAGCCTGGTTGCAGTCCTCCACGGATTTCTCCCAAAGTCTAAGTTTAGACCAGCATACTGCTCGATTGCAGTATAGAACAGAGTTAGAGCTATCACATCTGAGTCCTTCCCCATAAGCAGAGCAGGCTTCAGCGTATCTTCCAGCGTTGAATAATTCATTGCCGTGAGTCCGTGCTCTCGCTACCATTTTCACATTATTTAAAACCATTGCAATTTCAACATTGCTGTAATCGATACGTCTAGCCTTCTCTGCAGCTGAAACTGCATTCTCGAATCTGCAAGAAATCTATAATCCATTTTCACTCGGTCCTAACAACAATACCAAACAGTAAATGGTAATTTCATCTCGCAAAGGTCACCTTCCCAATGCCATCTCAACTTGAGCCTGAACAAAGAGGGCATAAGCTTCGGCCACCATACCAAAGTACTTAATCTGCGAGGAGGGAGTATATTGCTCCGATTTTGGGATGTTTGATAGGCAGTAATCTGACTCCTCGATTTTTTGGAGCTTCAAAAGGGCTTCTGCTTTACAAGCAATGAGCTGCAAATTCATTTCAACATTCTCAGATATTCTGCAGTTGAATTCTATAAACAGCTAGGTAGTACAAATATATAATCGACTATCGAGGGAAGGAGCTGTACCTGGGGAGACGAGTCTGCACCAACAGCTATTGCTGCATCAATTTCTCTTACCGCAGTCTTCCAATCACCAATCTTCCGCGCATCCGCACATCGATTAATATGATTTTCCAACAGCTGCAACTTCTGCAGCTCAGCTGGATCCGAATGTTGCCCCGGGAAACAAAGGTGGTGTCTGGCATTATCCGGTAAACCTAACCTGGAGTAAGAAATTTGAGGATTGTTAATATTCTGTCCAAAACCCTTTCTTCCCAAACAATCAATTGCCAGTTTGAACTTCAATCCAAGGGCATCCATTTTTTATGTAAAAGGAATCATAAACAATCAATTATGTATATGAAAGGCACACTTTGACAAGCTAACAACAAAGAGACAGAGCAATTCCAGAGAAGAAATGGAATACAAAATCACACAACCCATGAGAGCATGATGAAGAAGAACCAATGATACAAAGAGAGAGAGAGAGAGAGAAGCACTCAGAAACCGAAGAGATCCGATCCTCAGCAACACTGATGAGAATAAAGCACCCACGAATCACATTAATCAAGAAGATGAACAAAAAAACAACAATGGTAAATTAAATAATAAGAAAATTTACTCACTCACCTAAGATAAAGGGAAGACAACCTCTGATGAGCTCTGCCATAACCAGGGTCTAATCGAACAGCCTCCTCACACTCCCTGACGGCCTCCCCCAACCTTCCCGCCGCCGCTAACGCCGCCGCCCTGTTACTTCGGTAGACAGCGTTTTCCGGTGAAATGGATATAGATTTATCATACAATGCCAATGCCTCGGAAAAATTCCCTCTTTTATACATCTCATTACCAGCTCTCTTCATTTCCTCGGGATCAGCAGTAGCCGCCCCCGATTTAGCGCCACCGCCGCCGCCGCGAATTATGCTGCCGTGTCCATAGTTTCCTTTGCCACCACCAAGCGTATCGGTCTTGTTAGAGGTACGTAACCCCATGGTTTTAACGATTTTCCCAGACGGACAAATGTTACCACTGGGTAAAATCGTGCTTGGATTGGAAGAAACAGACGAGGATGAAGATGAGGTTGCTCCAGTAAAGCTTGAACCAGAGTATATTAAAGGGAGTCCAGCAGATACGGATCTCCTACGACCCGGCCTAATATTCCGGTTAGTCGGGGCAGATCCAGGTATACCCGGACTTTTCTCCAACAACTCCCCGGAGAAATGAGTAGCGGTGCTGTTACTGTTCTTGCTTGAAACGGAATCAGCTGATGAGTTGGAGCTATTTCCACCGGACGAAGTAGTGGGGGCGGCACCTCCGCCATTGTTGTGACGGAGCAATGGAGAAACGGGTGAACCCATCAGATCGAGTTCTTTGAAATCGGGCTTGTTCATTTCCCTATCAAAACTGGGTCGTTCGGAATGAGAAGGCATTTGCAGAAGAGATGATAATGGTTAAGGAATCTGGGTTTTGATTTATATACTAAGAGAGGGAGTAATAAAGAGAGTATGTATGTGGATATCTTCTCCCTCTCTTGATTGTCTGGTGTTTTAATTCAACATTAATGGGGTACGGCGGGGCTATCTTAGATTAGGTATACTAAACCATAACACGAAGGAAGAGATTATGAAGATGAGAGATACGTGGAAAGAGAACATTAAAGGAAGAACGGAGGGGATCTCGTGATGTCAAAACAAAAATGAAAATGAAGAACCAATATTGAATATCAGTTGAGTCTTGAGTCCGAGTCTGACCGAGTGAAGTTATTGGGCTAAAACATTTCATTTGCGGAGGTAAAAAAGAGGGCTTGATTTGGAGAAAAGGTTAAATTACACTTGTGGTCCATTAATTATGTTTAATTTTTTAAAAAGTTACAGATACATAATTAATCAACCCCTAGTTTTCTTGTCCACATCAAAAAATAATTTTAAAACGAAATCATTTCTTATTACAATAAAATGTATAGTTTATAATTTTAAAATTTGGATTCAAATCTATAATCCGCATGACTAATATGAATTCGGATAATAGATTTTCAAATTATATATATATACTACAAATGCTGATACTTTCCTTCCGAAGGCTGTTCTTGTGCTCTTTTTCATTCATTTATTTGTAGTATTTTACATGCCTTGATACTTGGATAAGAACAATATGCTTTTCTTTAAAAATAAAAGAGATTGATGCTGGGATCTTAGGGACATGTTGAAGAAAGGTATTTCACCATATTCATTTGACGTTTTGGGGGAAAAAGCACTAGAAATCTCAGCCTCACATGCCATTCTGATTCGGGGATAACCCGTTCCTCTCCTAAAAATTTCAGATTATCATAAAATCATGCGTATGTTCATCTAAACCAGTTGCAGTTGTAGTGGACACTTGTGTGTTTCTGTAAAGCACTGTACAGAAATGGAGCAAGTGGATTGGGTTGTTGAAGTTGACGAAGAAGTTCAAAGGCTGGTGGATTCTGAGACAGAGATGGAACATTGGACGAAGCGATCAATATATCGAATACCGACGAGCTTCACTGACCTAAACAAGAAAGCATACATTCCTCAGGTGGTCTCCTTCGGACCTTACCATCACGGAGAAGATCACCTGAAGCCGATGGAAGAACACAAACAACGAGCACTCCTCCATTTCCTGAGGAGATCGAACAAGTCTTTAGAATCATTCGTCGAAGTGTTAGCTAAAGATTTGCGGAGATTGAAAGATTGTTATGATCAGCTTGATGATCCAATGTGGCACGATGATGACAAGTTCCTGCAGCTGATGATTCTTGATGGATGTTTCATGCTGGAAATTTTATGTTCTGCTAACCGTACAATGGAAGATTATGCTCTAAACGATCCGATCTTCAGCAATCATGGAAAGATACATATTCTTCCGTTTATCAAACGAGATATGCTGATGCTCGAAAATCAATTGCCAATGCAAGTTCTTTACAGCTTAGTTGCTGTTGAAAGCAATGGAACCAAGGTAATCATTGGTCTTTAGACACTCAGGGACGGATTGATGGGACGATTGACACAGTCGCATTTTGAAAATTTTAGATTAACATAAAATCTCATCTCGGTTCATGTAGACACTTATTAGATCACTGTTAGCTTTTGTTTTTGTTGTTTTTATAAGTTCTAAGTTGATGCAGGATAAAGAGTACATCAACAATCTTGTACTCAAGTTTTGGTCTCCCAATACGCCCCTCTCGTGCTTTGGGACTTGCTTGCACGTGTTGGAAGTTTACCGAAAGAGCCTATTTCCGGACATACCGGATGGTCGTCAACGGCAAAGGAAACATCGCCGCAAACCACGTGTCTCGGACCACAAAGATGGCGACGACATCATTAGGTCTGCGATGGAGCTGAATGAAGCAGGAATCCGATTCAAGAAAAGTAAGACCGTCAACCTCATGGACATTACGTTCCGCGGAGGGGTCCTTAAGCTTCCGGTCATCATCGTAGACGATGCCATGGAATTCATGTTTTTAAATCTAATAGCATTCGAACGTTTGCATGTCGGAGTAGGAAATGAGGTGACATCCTATATCTTCTTCATGGACAGCATCATCGACAACGAGAAGGATGTTGCTCTTCTATACTCGACGGGGATCATTCAGAATGCACTTGGAAGTGACAAAGCAGTGGCTAACATGTTCAACTCGTTGTCAAAAGACATTACGCTCGACCCGGATAACAACAGCTTCGATGAGGTCCGGAAGATGGTGAACAGGTATTGCAAGAAAGCTTGGAATGAATGGCGAGCCAATCTCATTCACACATACTTCAGAAACCCATGGGCTATACTTTCTGTGATTGGTGTCATCTTTCTTTTTGCCCTCACTATACTGCAGACCATATATTCTATACTTCAATTCTACAATAAATAATGTAACCTGTAAGTCTCTATGATCTCACAACTGCCCCATTGATTTTCAGCTTTTTACATGGTTTTTGAAGATAAACTTTTCTTTTAAATTCGTTTCAGCATCATGCAGAGAAGTTGTGTATCTCTTATACTTTATGATTTGTTCATCCATTGCAGTGTGTCTATATATATATATGCTGTTGATAAATGGAAAATGTGTGAAGTATACCTTTTATCTTGTTTGCTCTTTTTTTTTTTATTCTCGTGTTTCTAGTTGATGAGAATAACTGAATTGTGACGGTTATAGGCAGTTCATCCATTCTGATCACACCGATAGAAGTAGGGACGGAAACAGGATTCTAATTCAAGGGGCCTAAGGTATAATTAATAATAAAAAATAGAAGGGACAAAATCAAAATAAACCAAATTTTGAAGGTCTAAATAGATATTTATCTCTATTTATATTTTTAATGATAAAAATTGAGGGGCAATGACCCCCAACCCAACACGTAGCTCCGTCATTGGGTAGAAAAATTATCATCGACTGATATCGAGATCTTTTATCTTCAACGGGAGGTAATAAAAGGAAGATGAATGAAAGCAAAAGCATTCCTCCATTCACTTGATCTAATCAAAAGCTTTTATAGTAATGTTTGAGGTTGATTATAAGTATAGGATCATTACGATTACCTGAAACTTGATAGACCATATAGATATGGTTAGCTAATAATAAATTTAACTTTGATAGATCACGTTAAAAGTCATCTTAAATTATCGTGATTTCTTAAAAAGGATATTCGAGATTTTTCTTCCAAAGAAACTCTCCCAAGATCCGTGAAACTGAAGATTAAACACCAGAAAGAAAATACAAAATTTAATGATAAGCAAGCTTGTTCCAAATTTTCACCCATAACCATGAAATGAAATGAAATTAATGTTAAAAAGAGAAAAACAGTAAATTTATTATCAGAAAGTTGCTGCATTGTTAACAATCTTTTTCTTTTACATGAATGTCAAGCTTCCAACAAGGTAAATGTATTTACATGAAACCAATTATATCAGAGGTATCAGTGATTGCAGACTCCATGCATTTCAATCTCAGGTTCCTCCATTGCAATAATGGATGCCATTACTGTGGGGTTCTTTCTGTTTCATGCTTGTGCTTAGATTATTCAATCCCCATATCCGAATCGTACGATCATCACTAGCCGATGCCAACATGTGAGGGTTTGCCGGGTTCCAACTCACACAATTAACGGCTCCGGAATGACCTGGTAATGACTCTATAAGCTCCCCTGTGCCCCTGTGCCATAGATAGACCTAAACATATATAGTAAAACCAAAAACAAATTAAATTAAATTTCAGAAAATTTCAAAAGAAAATCAAATTTCTCATCAGCTTAAAACAGTTAGAAAAGGTGTACGCATAATGACTACACTTGCTTATTATTTTATTAAGCATGAGGATATGATCTTCCAAGAATCTTCCATATACATATAAAACCCTAGGGGGGAAAAATTAACATACCCTGGCAGGACACTTGTATCCATTACTATGCAGACAAAAAATGTCTAAGCCAACACATGCATGGCTCATATAGTATTGAGCCCATTAGCAACAAATAAAAACCATATAGCATTTTCTGTGAGATAAAGACATCATACAGAAGTAAACTACTAAGGCAAACCAGCAATGTATCCGTGTATTGGTTTTTGTTGACATAGTTGTGTTGGAGGTAATTTGTAATTATATAAATTTGATATATTAAACTCAATTTAGCAAACCATATTATGAGGATACTGCTTTCCATATTAATCGTACGCTAACTTCCTGTTAGAGGTTATATTAGAACAAACAGAAGTCCGTACCAGTGAATCCTCACTACCGCTGGCAATAAAAGCTTCGTCAAGTCCACCAAAACAAGACCTAATGATGAAGCGATTGCGTTTATGGCCTCTATATTTAGAAACAAGCTTCAGACCACCCTCTATATTCCATAGATGGATTTCTTGGTTTAAAAGATTTACCAGCAAGAATCTATTGTCTCTTGACAATGAGAATGAAGTTATTGGTTGATCCTCTTCGATAAATCTCTCAACTTTTTCTTCCCGGTCAAGTAATAATATTGCTGTTTCCCTACATATACTAATAATCTTCTTTCCATCACCTATTATTTCCAAATCAGAAAATTTTAGCGATCGTTGCCCTTTCCAGCACTCTAGCTCTTTCCCATCCAATTCCCACATGCAGATACTCTTATCATTTAGACCAGAAAATATCCATTTGCCATCTGGAGACCATCCACATGAAACCATACCAAGACCCGTTTTTTCATAAACATGAAGGCATTCCCCAGAAGATACATCCCAGCGCCTTATGACCTCCTCTGAGCCACATGTCAGAAGCTGGTGGTCGTCAGGACTCCATGAAACAGAAGAGAGAGGTTTCTGGTGACCAGATAGTTTATGTTTTAAAGATACTCCATTTTTAAGAACCTACAATGAGTCAAACTATTAGAACAAGAATTGACCAATTGCTAGGCATAGTTGACCCAGTCATTAAGTAGGGATCATCGCACTGACACAAGAAGGAAAACCATAGTTGATTAAAATTAACAAATCCACCCATTCCTCCACTAAAGCAACAGTAAGAATCACACACACTCTAAGTTTAATCTCCAAGAAAAAATGTTTCCTTTTCATTTCATTTTTCCTTATTTCATTATGTTGGTAGGAATTCTGTTGAATAGGGAATAGAATACGTTACAAATTATACATAAGGTATTCAGAAAGATGCTAGAGATTGAACATTCAAAATAAGCATCCAACAAGCTATGACATGTTCCAAGTGAATAGAAATACCTCCCAAATGATTGCTGACTGATCATTTGATGCTGAAGCTAAGTATCTCCCATTATGCGAAAATTTCAAAAACCATACTTCATCAGTGTGAGCCTGTAATATCTGTTGCAAGAAAAATGACAAAAATGATTTAAAATAAACAAATAAATAATAATTATCTGCAATTATGATATAAGAAAAATGCAAGCCACAAGTAGATAAAATCTCAGAGATGGAACAAACACATTGATGAAATTAATACTCTTTTAACAGAAATAGAATAAAGCTAGTGAACTTGAAATTTTATAGCTGATAAGTGCACTTTCCATTAGTCTAAGAAGAAAATTTTTATGCTTCGAAACGCCATCATTTTCTCCCAAAAGATCTTTACTGAAGAAATGAAACTGAATCATAAATGTTCTCTAATGAACACAAGATTTATAATTTGCTTAGATAACATTCCCAGTTGTTGATTGTTTGAATCAATCATAGAGTGTACAGCCACATGTTATGTATCATACAATAGCTGAGTTAACAAAACTAGGTTTAGTGAACTATACAACAAATCATGAGTAGCTTCAATCTCTTACCTAATCTTAATATCTTTGGAACAAGCACATGGCTACAAATGAAAGAAGATATTGACTTGGACATTTAACAGTTTAGAAATGACCTTTCATCAGCATACTTGTTAAGAAATTACATTGAATTCAACCTTTGCCAACCATTTCTCAAGCATTATGATTAGGAAACATCCTCGCAAGTCTTCCCCAAACACGCATGAAATATTAATGAGCTTTCTATCCAATCAATTTGTACTTCAAATCACTTATTCTAGTCGAGTATCTCTATAACTTCATAAAAGTTAGATCTTTTTCCTTCACATCATCTTTATTAAAGGTGAGAACCTCTGAAAACACAACTACTCTTTGGTTACTAGATATTGATCTTACATTGCCACTTTCAGATTCTAACAATCCCTTCAGCAAAGGTTCGACTTTCGAGATCAGTGTAAATAGATACACAGGGTAAAGAATACCTCAAAACTGCATTTAACAAAGAAAATGTACTCCAAAAGGTATTCAAGATAATTTCAGTGAAAATGTAAACAGTGCAATTTAAAACCTAACTTATAACCAACCACCTAATATCAGTTCTCTACTTCTCTCATTCCTGAACCCAAAAAAAAGAAGAGATTAAAACCTAATATCCATACTGAAAAAGCACAACTTAAAATAGATTTCTGATTTATACAAAAAGAAAAGGAACACATATTGTACAATTTGTTATGTAGTTCACATAAAATTTGCATCAATAAAAAATGTAGAAGGATCGGAATTTTGTCATATTTTAACAAAAGAAAAATAACAGAAAGGAAAAAGAAAATCTGATTAGCAGAACAAAGTCAAACCTGCAATGCTTGCGAAGGAATTTGATCTCTCCCACACTGATGATCAGCATATAGTGACATTTCCTTATCCAAAGAGTTGTGAAACATGCAAGCATCTCGTTGCAAGACAAGGGCCTGTTCAACTAAATGCTCCAACCTTCCTTCGGGGATCATAACTGTAGGTGGAAGCAGCTTCTGTAATTCTTCCAATAGTTTACTCCGGGATCTTGTCCTCAATGTATCTTGTTTGGGAGATCGAACAGAAGAGCAGTAAGATGGTGACACAAGATATGAAGAAAGCTCACGTACTCTACTATTATTGGCACCAAGAGGTGTAATCTCAATCCTCAATGTTTGCAGAGCGTCCATTACTTTTTATCATCCAAAAGCTCCAAAAACTTCTGTTCCAATATCAGAAAAGAGGCCGACTTTATGGTCTTTCATCAGTTAGACCAATATTATGCAATGTGACAAGACTTTCATCCCAATTTCCCTCAAGAATTTGTCGCATAAATACATTGACCACAGAAGAATGTAATGGTATCCCTGATTCTTCCTCTAGATGAGCGCCGCTCTTTATATAACCGAGAGAGTATAACGATTTCGCTATTATTCGGACAAATTCTACCTTCTTTATAACTCCTTTTGAGCCAACAATTTCTTCGCCCCCATCAGACTGCAGAGGCCGAGCCATTAGGTCACCTGAAGACCCAGCTACAGTCCCTTTAATAGTTGAACCGTTTGAAAGACGTCTCAGTTCTTCACAGGATAGTTTCATACGTTTTGAGGCT